GGCACTTTGAAGATGAAGTTATACCTGGTCTAAGCCATCGTGTTTTCAGTTACCTCATACGCATGCACATCCTGGACAGTGAAAAAGGAAGATTGGAGAATAGTACAAGCCTTTGAATTATGGTATTGTTGCATAATATACCATGAACTTCCAGAAGAGCGAACAAAATATGTGCTGGAAGAAGTATAGCCAGAATGCTTCTTAGAAGTGATGATAGTGAGATTTTGTCTCCTGTACTTTGGATATGTTATTAGGAGGGACCAGTCCCTGGAGAAAGATACCATGCTTGGGAAAGTAGAGTGTAAGCAAAAAAGAGGAAGACCATAAAAACTTTTGAGTAGTCATCTAAGTTGTAACTATTGGTGTATCCCTGTTGGAGCAAAGAAGAGTGAAGAAAATCAAAGATGAAAGGAAACAGCCTGAAGGACTAATGGTCCATGTGAATGAATGACCAGATCCTGGATTGCTGTTGTTGAATTCTGTTGAGTCAGTTCTAAGTTTCCAAGGAACAGCTGGTGATTAGCATCCCAACCTTGTGATTAGCAGCCCAGTGCTTATCTTATAGCGCCACATCAGGATTACAGGTCCTGCATATGGTGGGAGGAAAAAGTAAAACAAACCTCAAAATGGTTAAAAAAAAACACACACACCAAAAAGACCTGGTTTCCTGGTATGATAATGACTGGTGGAACCTCCTAGGATGTGGCAAGTAGCTAGCCTTCAATCACGGAACTGAACTCACCCCGCTGACTTTATTTTTAGCCAGACTATAGATAGTCCTATAAGGTGAACAAAATCCACTATACAACATCAGATAAGCAGCATTTGCTCTGGGATAAAGCTCAGAAGGCTGGAAGCTGTAGAGCAGAAGGACAAAGGGAAATGCAAATACATGGAGTAGGAACAGTGCTCTGGGGATGATTGCAATCAATATCACAAAGGAAATGTGTGTGAATTTTTAAATAGAAAACCAATTGTTTTGTAAAATTTCACCCAAATCAGAAAATTAATTAAACTATGTGATACACAAAAAGAAAGAAAGAAAGAAGACCTTCAACTAAATGGCTTGGCACAGTGGCAGTAACAATGAAGTCATCCATAGCAAGGATTGTGAGGGTGCGGCAGGGCTGAACAATGTTTCATTCTATTGTACATAAGGTTGCTATGAGTTGGAATTGCTTCAACAGCACCTAATAATATTGGCAACCATCCATGATGATTGTTGTTGTTGTTAGGGGCCATTGAGTCGATTCTGACTTGTAACAACGTTATACACAACAGGATGAAGCATTGCCCAGTCCTGTGCCAACCTCACAATCATTGTTATGTGGTTGCTAGTATGCCAATCCATCTCATTTTGGGGGGTGGGGGGGTGGAGGGGCTTCCTGTTTTTCACTGACCCTCCACTTTACCAAGCATGATATTCTTCTCAAGGACTGGCCCTCTTGATACTATGTCTGAAGTATGAGAGATCATGTCTGGCCATTCTGATTTCTAAGGAACATTCTGGTTGTACTTCTAACACAGATTTGTTTGTTCTTCTGGCAGTCCATGATACTTTCAATATTCTTCTCCAACATCATAATTCAGATGCATCAATTCATCTACAGTCTACCTTTTTCATTGTCCAACTTTCACATGCATGTAAAGCTATTGAAAATACTGTGACTTGGGTCAAGTGCACATTGGTCCTTAAACTGACATCTTTGCTCTGGAATACTGTAAAGAAGTCTTGTGCAGCAGATTTGCCGAATTCAATACATTGTTTGATTGCTTGACTGCTGCTTCCATGAGTGTTGGTGGTGGATCTAAGAAAAATGAAATCTTTCACAACTGCAATCTTTTCTCCATTTATCATGATGCTATTTATTGGTGTCCTGGTGTGGCACCATAGGATAAGTACTCAACTTCAAGGTCAGTTTTAACTGCAAGGTCGGTGATTCAAACTCACCAGTCTCTCCTCGGAAACCATATGCAAGGTCACTATGAGTTGGAACCAACTCAACAGCACTAAACAACAACAGCAATGTATTGGTCCAGTGGTAAGCATTTTTGTTTTCTTTACATTGAGATGCAAGCCATGCTGAAGGCTGTGATCTTTGATCTTCATCAGTAATTATTTTAAGTCCTCTTTGCATTCACCAAGCAAGGTTGTGTCATCTGCATATGTTAATTAGTCTTCTTCCTATCTTGATGCCACATTTTTCATATAATCCAATATTGCTCAAAATATAGACTAAGTATGGTGAAAGAATACAACCAGGCCACACATCTTTCCTGAGTTTGAACCATACAGTATCCCTTGTTCTGTGTGAACAACTGCCTCTTAGTCTAGGTACAGGTTCCTTATGAGCACAATTAAGTGTTCTGGAGTACTCATTCTCTGCAATGTTGTTCATAGCTTGTCATGATAAATAGTTAAAATAGTAATCTAAAAAGTGGTTGTCTCTAGAGGAGGGAATTGATCTGAAAAGGACATGAGGGAATTTCTGTTATGGAAAGACTTCATATCTTGGTTAACCATACTTTAGACAGGCATATATATTTGTCACAACTCATTTTCATATATGTGCATTTTATGGTATATGAATTATATATCAATAAAGTTGTTGTTGTTAAGTGCCATTGAGTTGGTTCTAACTCATACTGACCTTGTTGGGGGTTTCCAAGGAGTGACTGTTGCGTTTGAACTGCTGACCTTGTGGTTAGCAGTCCACTGCTTATCCTACAGTGCCTCACTAGAACTCCATAACAGAAAAATGTATAAATATCTGGGGAAATATATAACTTTTTGGGAAAATTTATCGTTACATAACTTTACTGAAAAAAAGGCTAAAATATAAATTAATGTACATATGCAATATGGCCATGGATTTTAATACACAATATTTTAAGACATATGACTTCTCTTCAAATTAGTTTGTAGTTTCATTGCAATCTCAATCAAGAGCCAAGCAGGTTAATTTGAGTGTGATTTTAAAAACAAAATGCTGAAAGGTAGTTTTATAATACACACGGATTCCTTTCCCCTAATTTCCCTCCCTCCCTTATCCTCTCTCTTGCTTCCTTTAGCCTTCATTTCCTTTCCTTGCATTCCAATCCCTCAAAAATTACGATTTCACATGCAGTTGAGGTGGTATCTTGACTTTGGTCTGGCATGGTATAAAGCAACCCTTCAACTCGAGAATCTCTCTCCTCTCTTTCATCCCTTTTTTATGGGGGAGTAATTCTGTTTTAGCTCTGACTGTTCCCAAGAAGGAAGGGATAAGGTTAGTATGAATCACATTTTGTAGTCCTTCTCACAACTGCTATGTAAATTAAAATAATGAAATGAAGGGTCGTTATGAAGAGAAAAAGAAATCAGGAGGGGAAGAAGTGCCAATGTGAGGATAGTGACAGGTAGCAGGCAGTCCTTGCTGGGAAGATGGGGAAATTATGGGTGAATGAATGTATTAATTTGGAACACATGATCCTGATGCTTTGTAGATTAAAAATAGTCAACCATCAGTGACTTACGTGGCTCAAACTAGTACATGGAAATGCATTTTGAAGCTTATTTTTTTTGAGTTTAAAATGAATACATTTGCACTATAGAAAATGTGGGAAAGCAAAAAATCAATAATCCAGAAAAATAAAGCTTATTATCTCTCAGACCAGAGATGAATATTTAATATTTTAATACGCTTGTATCATCTAATCTCTTTCCCACATGTGCAATTTTCAAATATGTACAATTTTCAAATATTTGAATCATACTGTAAATGCATTTTTATACCTTGCTTTTGTCACTTTATTACTGTAAATATTAACAGGAAGCTGGAATTCCTTAGTTAAAATTCCAGTTCCACCGCTTAGTAACTGCGTGACTTTGTGCCAGTTACTTAAAGTCTCTGTGACTCAATTCCAACATTGGCAAAAGGAAGTAATAAAATTTTACTGTACAGGATATTTTTATAAATGATTTTGAGTTTTGTTCCACATTTTTCTCACAGTCTATCTAGAACTTTCCATTGTGACTCTTGTCAGAGCCATCAGTGTTGGCAGCTGAGCATCATCTGGTTTTTGTGGTCTCAGGATCTTGTGGTCTCAGGATCATGGCTCATTAACACTTTGGACTATTTATTTCCATGTATCTATGATTGTCTTCACTTTTTTTTGCTTCAGATGGAGAGAGACTGAAGGTAAGTCCTTTATTGCATCCCCCCACCCATTGAAATGTTTTGAATGAGCTGTTTCTTTGCAAATGATACAGTCTCATACTTGTAGCTATATAAGACTTTATGTTGATTTGCTTATATATTTCTTAGAAGAGAAATGACTGAATATAGTACAATTTTTTCTTTTTTCTTTTAAGGTTCATAGTTTAAAAAAAGCAAACCAAAAACCAAACCATGTATCATCTGATTTAGATTCCTAGCAACCCCATGTGTATTAGAGTAGAATTGTGCTCTACGGTTGTCAAGGATGTGTTGGTTCAAAAATAGATAAGTTGGTCTTTCTTCCAAGAAGCCTTCAGATGGATTCGAATCAACTCGAGTGTGTAAGCATTTGCACCATTTGTTGTTGTTATCAAGTGCCATTGGTACCAACTCGTAGTGACGTTATGCACAGCAGAACGAAACACTGCCCGATCCCAGGCCAACCTCACTATCGTTGCTCATAGATGCTGCCACTTTGCCAATCCATCTCTCTGGGGGTATCCCTGTTTTTTTCTGACCCTCCACCTTACCAAACAGGATATCCTTCTCCAGCGACTGGTCCCTCCTGACAATATGTCCGAAGTATGAGAGACGAAGTTTGGCCATCCTGGCCTCCAAGGAGCACTCTGGCTGTACTTCTTCCAACACAGATCTGTTGGTTCTTTTGGCAGCCCATGGCACTTTCAATATTCTCCTCCTGATATATAACACAGTATTCAGGTAATGTATGTCACCTTTTTAGATGAGTATTAACATAGACTGATGGAAATCCAAGGTATATAGGTTGGAACCACACCTCTCCTATTTATTTGTGGAAACATAATTCCTGGTAACAACTCTCCTGAGGGCCCCTTTCACCTCATTGTTCCTCAGGGTGTAGATGAGAGGATTGAGCAGTGGGGTGCCCAGTGTGTAGACCAGAGAGAGGAGCTGGTCTTTTTTGGGGGAGTAGCTGGAACTGGGGCGTAGATACATGAAGGCACAACAGCCATACTGCAGCAAGACCACAGTGAGGTGGGAGGAGCAGGTGGAGAAGGCTCGGCTTCGGCCAGCTGCTGATTGGATCCTGAGAACGGCAGATACTATGAAGGCATAGGAGAAGGCAATTAGGAAGAAAGACACAGCTATGGCCAGCATAGCTGCCATCAGCACTGAGTACTCATGGAAGTGGCTGTTGGAGCATACAAGCTGCATCACTGGTGGCACATCACAAAAGAAGTGTTTGATACCCCGAGCCTGGCAGAATGGAAGAAAGAAGATGAAAGCCACTAGTTGAACAGATAGGAAGAAGCCAATGACTACAGAGGCCACAACCAACCGTACACAGAGAGTCAAAGTCATGATGAGAGGATACTGCAAAGGGTGGCAAATGGCAATGTACCGGTCATATGCCATCACAGTCAAAAGGACGCAGTCAGCACTGCCAAGTCCAATGAAGAACACCATCTGAGTGGCACAGCCTAGGAGTGTGATGGTCTTCTCGGTTCTTAGGGTGTTGGCCAATATATGCGGCACAACGACAGCTGTGTAGCAGATTTCTACTCCGGAGAGGCTTCCCAGGAAATAGTACATGGCTGTGTGTAGGCGGGCTTCTGACTGGATGGCCAACACAATGAGGATATTCCCAGTGACGATTAAACCATAAACCAGGCTGACCCCAAGGAAGAACAGGATGCGCAGTTCTGGGCAGGAGGGATAGGCCAGGAACACAAATTCCATCAATACTGAGTGATTTTGCCAGGGCTCTGAGTTCTCTGTGGAGAGTTAGAAAGACAGAAGAAAGAATCCAACAGACAATGCGTTAGTCAACGAATTAGAAACTAGAAGTATCAAGACTGTTGTGTTTTTCTCCCCTTTACAAAGCCTCTCTATATAAGTATCTACAACTCAGTTTATAACTTCTAATAATAGGGACAAACTGTATGAGTTTTTCAGTAAAATAAGTGAAGTTTAGGAGACATGTTCATAAGAAATAAAATGAAAATGAAATTCTTTAAATAAGTTCTGAAGAAAGTCTTAAGGAACTTTGGAAAAGAAACTTCAGTGATGTGAGAACATAAATCACTCATTTATTTATTCATATATTTATTCATTCTCAGTGCCTCCTGAGATATTGATTTGGGAATATATAGATGTCATGCTCAAAATCTCATGATATGATGGAGAAGATATATAATATGATTATAATGCAAGGTAGATGGAATCATAGGAAAAGTATACATAAGACAATTGAATTTCAGAGAAAGGGTGCATTGTAAATTTTGGGACTCAAGCAAGACTTCACGGAAGAGAAACAATGCAGTAGTAAGAATATTTAAGGGAAAGGAACCGTGTTGGAAAACAAGTTGAGTAGAAAGCGTAGGCTGTGGGAATAAATAGTGACCAATATGAACGGAGTGGAAGATGCTAGAATGGAGCAGTAGAAACGAGATTGCAGTGACATCATAGAGTGCTGAACACCAGGTGAAGAAGGGTGTTCAGCACCAGGTGAACACCAGGTGAAAAGGTTCTACCCTTTAGCTAATGGTGGCAGTGGAAGGGTGGCACTGATGAGTTCTGATTTAGAAAAATTAGGGGCAGAGTTTGGAGACAATGTTAGTAAGACTTATTAGGATGGTAAGAATTCCTGGTGTGGCTCTGCGGGTTAATGCGCTGGACTGCAAAGTCAGTTGGAACCACAAGGTCGACGGTCAAGCTCACCACCTGCTCCTCAGAAACCCTGTACAGGGTCTCTATGGGTAGGAACTGACTCTACTGCACGTAACAGCAACAGCAACATTAGGATGGTAAAGTAGGAGGTCAGTGACAAAAGAAGACTCAATAAAGTGAATGGTACATAGGACTGCTGTGAATTGAAATCGACTTGATGACCCTAACAATATTAGGATGAGGAAATGAGAAAACAAAACAAAAGAAAAGCCATTAGGGGAAAGGGTTGCCAAAACTCTGAGCTTGACATTATCCAAGGTCAGTTTCAGAAGCCAAAGCCCCACCTACTTCTGGTTTCTCTAGAAATACCCAGTGAGGAAAGGGGTAGCACTTGAAGGACACAGGGATTTTTTTTTCTCATAGGGATCCTCCTTTGTGGAGATAAAGGAAAATATGGGATCATAAGCTTTAGAAATCTAAGAACACTTCCTGTAAATTTGGAGGATGAATTTGAAAGGACAAACTCATTCCTAGTCCATATTTATTTTCCCTTCTAAGAAGCCAAAGTGAAATCTGAAAGGAAGCCTTATCCGGATTCCACCCAAACCTGCCTGATAAACAGACAGGTTGCAAAGACTACCTCCTCTGAGAGGGGAAACTTTCCATTTATTAAACGTCCCTATGCTCATGAAACTCATTGGGATTAGGAAACGGGGGAGAATTAATCTCAAGGCAAATTCCCTGGACTTTCTACCTCCTTCAGACGTTCTTCTGGGTAACCATTCAACTGCTTTCCCCAGACAAATGCATATTCAAAAGGGTGGGGGAGAAGTAATATGTGACTTTGTTACAACTTGTGCAATTTTAATATTTACTGTCATTTGATGTGAATTTTAAAGATATCTCTTAATCCAGACACACTGCGTCCAGTAAAAATAATTCACATAAACCTACCTCATGTAATAGATAGAGAGAAATGTTTTTAGGGGCTATCAAGACAATAACATCACATAGTGCATAAATGACTATCTGTTGTTTTTCCAACAGCAAACAAGTGATGGCTTTTAAAATCCATTTTTTTTTTCTCCTCTCAACTTCATTAATGCCTTGGATTATTTCTAATATCACTTGGCATATTCCACATTTATAGTTTATGAGATAGGAAGTAGCATAATATTAGTGCCAGACCAGCACAGACTTTTAAATCAAATGGGTACGCTTCAAATCCCATCTCCTGATTCTGCGATGTGAAGTAATATTTAATTTCTCTGAACTACTGTTTACTCATCTGAATAATGGAGAAAATGATTCAACTCAGTTCATAGGATTGTTGTGAGGTTTAAATGCAATCTTAATGTAAAGAAACCTGGGTAGTACAAGTAGTAACAAAGCACACCATTGCCATGGAGTTGATTCTGGCACGGAGAAACCCTATAGGAACGACCCCACAGGGTTTCCAAGGCTGTCGTCTTTACAGAGCAGATTGTCATCTTTGTCCTGCAGGACTGCTGGTAGGCTTCAACCTTTTAACATGGCACCATCAGAGGTCCTTCTCCTTAAAAAGTGTTGTTAAGTGCTGTCGCATTGGTTCTGACTCTCCCGATCCTATAGGGTTTCCGAGGAGTGGCTAGATGGTTTGACCAGCCAATCATGAGTTTCAAATTGATCTTCTTCTATAGTGCTACACCAGAACCCCCTCATTAATGATATTATTGTTGTTAGGTGCTGTAGCATTGGTATCAACTCATAGTGACATCATATTGTTGTTGTTAAGTGCCGTAGAGTCGGTTCCGACGCATAGCGACCCTGTACAGGGTTTCCGAGGGTGTAAATCTTTACGGGAGTAGAAAGCCTCATCTTTCTCCCCCGGAGTGGCTGGTAGTTTCGAACCGCTGACCTTAAGGTTCGCAGCCCGATTCGTAACCACTACACTACCAGAACTCCTTTTTTGTGTGTGACATCATACACAACAAAATGAAACACTGCTCGGTCCAGCTCAAACCTCACAATCGTTGCTATGCTTGAGCACATTGCTACTGCCATTGTGCCAGTCCATCTTATTGGGGGTCTCCATCTCTCTCACTGACCCTTCTCTTGACCCAGCATGATGTCCTTCTCCAGGAACTAGTCCCTCCTGACAATATGTCTGAAGTATGAAAGACGAAGTCTGGCCAGCCTGGCTTCTAAGGAACATTTTGGCTGTACTTTTTCCAATACAGATTTGTTGGTTCTTCTTTATTCATTGATAGCTTTCACATGCATATGAGCTTATTGAAAATACTATGGCTTGGATCAGGTGCAGTGTAACAAAAGTTAAGGCCTCCAGGTGTGGACTGCAGGATAAGCACTGGACTGCGAAATACAAGGTCTGCAGTTCAAACCCACCAGTACTCCTCAGAAACCTTATGAAAGGGTCACTTTATGTTGAAACTGATTCAATGGCACTTCACAACAACAGTAATAAAAGAAAATGATTGTGATTATATAATTTGTAAGGTCAAGGGGAGTGATCTGCCGTATTTGTATTTTTATTTCCCCAATCAGCAAGCAAAATATTGTGTAATTTGTAGACTCTCAGCATATATATCAAGGAGCCTTTATAGCGTAGTGTGTTATAGGCTGCTAACCTCAAGGTCAGGCATTCAAATCTCCCAGCTTTTTGTTTCCATAAAGGTTTACAGTCACAGAAGCCCTATACCTATGAGTCTAACCCCATTTGATGGCACATAACCACTACTAATTACTAGCATATATATGTTGAATAGATACATTATCCACTGTGAAAAAACAAAATCCTTTTCCTACATTGTCTCTTTCAGTTTTAATATCTCATAATCAAATAATTTGTTGAGGAGTCCTTATGAAAAACAACTTGGCATTCAGCATTTAGGGTGCACTTTGGAAATAAAAATTGTATCTCTCAAGGTCATAGCAATATCGAGGGCTACAACAGATATCAAAAGGCTACTAGTTCCATATATTCCTGGTGTGGCACTGTAGGATAAACAATGGGCTACCAAGGTCAGTTTGAACCTTAAGGTCCATGGTCCAAACCCACCAGTCGTTCCTTGGAAACACTATACAGGGTTGCTATAAGTCAAATTGAATCAATGGCAATTAACAACAAGAGCAATTATGATGGACTCTGAAATCGGTATCATATTGATGACTTCTGAACATTTTGTTATAATCAATCACTTCCATGTCATCTTATAGGGCTCTCAGGGTCTTTAATAAAATATTTCCATCAGCATGATCATTTTGAATTCTCAATACAGCATCTGAAGACTGGCTACCTTATGTGCCCACTACCTCCTGACCTGTTTACTCCATTATTGGATGACTCAGTTCTCTAGAAGTCCTTTCTTGTAATTAGCTGAAACCTGCTTCTTTATATTCATTGTGTACTATCCCAAGGGCCATTTTTGTATGAAACACTGCAGCTATTAAAATACTACTATCATGTAGCCTTGCAACTTTCCCCAGATTTCTTATGACCTTGATGCTTTTCACTACTTTGGACCTAAAATGCTTTCACTTTAAATATTTTCTTTAAAAGTGTGCTGCCAGAAACCAACCAGAGGAATGGTCAGTATTAAAAAGTTATGTTCATCACCCATCTGGTTATGGTCAGTCTAATAAAAACCAGATCACTTCATTAGCTCATTTTTGTTTTGATGGTTTCTTGAAATTAACTGATATTTAGTTTCCTGGATGCTGCAATTGCTAATGATTTTCCTCATATTCGGAAAAGTAGAACAATCTCTATTATTCCTTTAACGATTCCTGTCACTGCTTCCCTTAGTTGAGATTAAGATTTAAATCTTGAATATGCTACTTTACCCATGATCTATTCCTCTGTAAGTCACTCACATTTCTTTTGTATATATTGACTGCCAAGCAGCACATACAATAGTTTTCAAATGTGTTCAAGTGAAATTATAATCTCATGAGATAGATGAACACTTAATCATAGAATTAAACCAGAATCTGGTCAAAATATATGTAATTAAAATTATGATTACGTGTTCTGAAAGACAGTAGATACTTTTGTGTTATAACACGGTGCAGTATAGGAACGTGGC